GTAAAACACTTATACCGTATTTTGGCAAACAATTTCAAACAAGAAGTTCAACTTTTCGTAAGACTTTGTGAGTGAGTAGTTGTTGAGTGCTTTAGTGTGGTCTGCTCCTTCTTTTCTATCAAACAAATATCATCCTCATTTCCTATCTTTTCTGTGTTTACTACTCTCTTGTAAAACCTCTAATCTTCGACACTTATACTATATTGTCACCAAATTGAGTAGCAAGTGTCGTAAAACTCTTTCTTAAAGGTTACTTTGTCAACCTGTCCCCAGGTATTCGCGGACGCTACTCTCATCTTGCCTCTCCTTGTAGCTGAGACCTTCGCCAAAAGACAGAAGGAGTTCAAGGCTTTTGAGGGACTGCTGTACTAGACCCATCCACCGAACAGATCGAACAAATTTACCAGCGCATACTTACAATGACAGGTTTTAACCCTACCCCCCCTACACCTCCCTCCCTTTCCATTAAAAAAAGCCAAACTAGCTCCGAATTACTCATTGAACATTACTGACACCGATGCCGTGCACACTCTGCCAAAGACTGAAGTCAGTTTGATATTAATTTTTTTGGGTTCAATAAGGATTTACAAATGAGGTGTTAAACATCCATGCTATGAGAGAGTGAATCTTTGAATCCCGTACTGTTCACGGAGTTAAAAACTGTCATTCTACGCGCGCTTAAGGCAAACGGTTGTATTGCAATAATAATGATAACAATAATAATAACAATAATAATAGTAATAGTTAATCCGTCAATATCGGATGGCGACCAATGCATCTGTAGAGGAGCAGGAACCTTCTTAATCGAGACAAACAACATAAGGATTAAGACATCTTTTGTTATAGTGTTGGCAATGATAAATTGCCACGGTTTTCCATTCATTGCTTTGCTCCAATGCTATCAGGAAAGCTACAGTATCATGATCTTTCCTCTCATCCATCAGTTTGGATTCTTTAAGAAGGTTGCTCTGGATCTGCAAGTACAATGGATACGTCGTTTTAATAAAGTGTGCTAAAAGAAACAGAGAGTCTGATTTGTTTATTCCTTTCTTTTCCCTTGTATATCTTTATTTAAAGATGTAAATAACTCTTGCTGATATTTTATGTTATGGGATTATATACTAATAAGGCATATTGACGTTTAGAAATATAAAACTAGATTAATCTAAATATATAAACTACACAAGCACACTTACGAACGTGCACACACACGTCACAATATCATAGGAGCAACACTTCTGAGGGAGTCAGAAACAAACTTCAAAATTCATTAAAAAGTACTCATCTAGAAATCATCATTATTATCCAGTGCCAGCTCTGCGACAGATATCGGCGATCATGGTTCTCCATTCATTCCTTTGTTCGGATGCTCTTAAAAAAGCTGTATTCCCCTGGTCTTTCCCTTATACCCAACCCATTTGTTTAGGTTCCCTAAGTAGGTTGTTCTGGGCATTCCCCTGCCTCGTTTGCCTTCATTTTTGCCAGTGAGAGCTAGATGTATAACACCCTTATGCCTATTCAGGTGTCTCAAAAACTGCATTTGTCGTTTCCTGATTGTTTTTAACAGTGAGCGTCCCACGTGGGCTTCATCAAGCACTACCTCATTTGATTTCTTTTCCTCCTCCTATACTTCTCTTAGCTGCAGTTGCATAAGAAACCACATTTCTGTTGCTTCTATTTATTTAATTGTCACTGTCTCTAGTGATTGTCCAGCATTCACAGCCATATAGAAGGGTTGACCATACATAGCATTTCAGAATTTTCATTTTGGTAGTCATTGAGTTATTTCTATTTTTCAGGATTGGGCTCATTAATTGAAACTAGCTGTAGCCAATGTAATTCTCCGTTTTATTTCTGTGGAACATTTGGCATCTGATGTTATCATATTGTATCCTAGATATTTAAACTATTAGATTTGTTTAATCTTTTCAACTTTGGTAGGGGGCTCTCGTGGCCTAGAGGTTAAGGTGTTGGCCTCTCATTCAAAGGTCCCGGGTTCGAATCCGAGTAGCGACCGAAACATTTTCTTCGCTAAATGTGTCTCCTTTCACCTCATTTCCTGCTCTTTGGCAATGTTCTGTCGTCTGCTTTCGTCTCCTCTTTCTGCCCCCACCCCCTCACATCCTTTGCCCCTTCCTCTTGGCTCCTTATTCTTTCTGCAGCCTTTCTACTGCTACTCCTTGGCTTCTTCTTACTGCTGTCTTTCAGCCACACCCCTGATCTTCTGGTAGGAAAGATCTACACCTAGCCTTCTCAGACAAGGGCGAAAAACTCGGAGGGTCCGTGTGCAAGTTGCGCACGTTAAAGATCCCTTGGTGGTCTAAAATCGATAAGAGTAGGTTTCGGCCGCCACCCTGGCAAAATTCAAAATTTCCTACCAACTGAAAAAGTTTAGTGTGTCTCGCGGGCTCATATGACCTTATGCAGTTGCGAGCGCCGTAAAACACTTACAAAAACAAAAACATCACCTTTGGTAATGAGATTTAACTAGGATTTGCAGCTTTTTTTTATTATAATACCATGCATTCCATTTTCTTTACATTCAACACAAATCCTTTACGTTCGCTTTCTGTTACCACATTATCGAAAAGCAATTGAAGATCGTTTTCGGAGCCTGCTATTAAAACTGTATCATCTGCATATCTGATGTTATTAACATTTTCTCCATTTACTTTGAGATCTGGACATTCTTCTATGTTTCTAAGGATTGTTTCACTGTACATGTTAAAGAGGTCTGGTGACATATCACATCCTTGTCTCACTCCTCGCCTAGTCTGCTTATATTCATGGTATTCTCCATTAATTCACACAGCAGCGTTTTGGCCCCATTACAAATTTCTGTCATCCACTGACAACCCACAAGGCAGTGGGGGCTTTGGTAAGGTTTATGGCGCCTCCCGTCGCCAAGACGATCCCTTCTTTCAGTGTGTGAAGTATTTATTGAAGCACCTGTGCCACCAGAGTTCTCCTCTTCTCTCCACGGCCATCTCCCATTTGGTTTGCGACCTTTAGTATGAACGTATAGTTCGCGACTGCTTAGCAGACAACCTCCGTATCAGGAGGTCTTTCCCCTATCCACCACCTGGGGACGCGCCAGGTTGGGTATGAGGACCCAATACTAAATCTTAGCACTTCCCAGGATCAAGAAATACTTTCTTGATATTTAGCCCTCTTTACTCTTAGTAAATTGAGGGCAAGCGAGGCAGGGGTAGGCCCCAGAAAAACATACTTAGGTAAACTAAACAAATGGGTAACAGGGAAAGATCAGGGAAAGTACCTTTTTTGAGAGTGTCCGAGCAAAGAAATGAATGGAGAACCATGATCGCCGATGTCTGTCGCAGATCTGGCACTGGATGATGATGACTCTTAGTACTTTTATTATGTTCTTAACCCCTTTACTGTAAAAGCACATTCCTGCGTCTTGAATCTCAATGTATTGAGATCAAATTCATTGTAGACTTCTTTTTTGTTTGAAATAAGAAGTTTTGGTAACATGGTTATCCCATCTCAGCCAACAGCTCAATAACCGCTCTCTACCCCACGACGTAAGCGACAGTGAGCTGATCTCTCGGAGACGACCTTTGTGTTTGCAAACCGCTGTCCTGCCCCTCACACCCCCAAACTATCTTTTATTTTACCCCCAGTCACTCAAACTTGATGGATTTGGTCAAAAGAACCTAATTACATTCCTTTCGTGATTTCAAAAACAGAAGTCTAAGTGCATAGATAAGATCAGTAAGTCAAAAGTAGATCAGATGCTTACGTATTTTTGCGTATATTGTCTTCTATCAAGAAGTTAATTAAATATAATGGAACCTGTTCAGGGCGACCTTCTTTGTAAAGGAGAAGAGTGATTATCTCTAACTGGTGGTCTTTATGGCAAGTAAAAAAGAACAGAAAGCAAGATAAAAGAAGGAGAATCTCCCGCCCCGACACATACACACCAGCATTGAGGTGGGAAGTGGAAAGTGGTCCTTTGTGCAAGTGGCTGTCTGGGACATGTGGCAGTAAGAGAAGTTTCGACTGCACTTAAATTAGTTTTTTTAAAAAAGGAATACACTGTGTGTATTTACCACCGCCTCAATCAACAGCATACTGACAGGACCTAACGTTTCAAAGCTTATCTGCCTTGCATTCCAAAGACACAGCCTGTGACGAATGACTTGCTGCATACTATGCCAAGAGTGTCAATGGATTTTGATTTTATGGTCTCGCTTTTCATCAAACCAGTGGATAGGTAGAACGATGTGCAAGTATTTTAGATTGTTTTAAGTTGTGTTAAATTAAACTGACTTCTTTCTATTGAAATGACATGATGTAAAAGCATGATGTGAGGTATGATAATATATCCGTGCACAATTATTATATAGCATAATCATTATATTTTTAATAGCTCATTACATTTACATACATTTACTTTATACATGTAGTATATGAGTTGTGTTTTACATATAGCATAACTGTGGTTGCTACGTTGCAAAACCATAATATTTTAAGATGATATGCATGAATACTTTATATAACGTATTATACCGTACAACATCATAACAGACTACGCTATATAATTTTACAATATATTTATATCATGCCATTATATCGTATTCTGTATAGAATATCGCATCAAAATCCCATCGTTCTGTATTGCGTTGCCTTACATTGCATAATCGTGGTGTCATATTGTGTTTTGTTGTGTTGTGTTGTATTGTATTGTATCGTATTGTATTGTATTGTGTAAAGCGCGCAGAGCTTGCTGTCGAAAGGGGATTTGCGCTATACAAAAGCTATTTATCATTATTAATTGATTATTTATTATTATTATTATTATTATTATTATTATTATTATTATTATTATTATTATTATTATTATTATTATTATTATTATTATTATTATTATTATAATTGTTATTATTATTATTATTTTTATTATTATTATTATTATTATTATTATTACTATTATTATTATTGTTATTACATTGCATTGCACATAAGACACCATGCTGCCCTTTCAATTTTTATAGTCTACATGCTATTGCTCAGAATTATTATTTTCCGACATATCTCAACAGAAATTTTTGAAGTTCGGAACCTGATTTGTGACGTCATCCTTAAAATGGAGCGCTCATTGATGATTATCGGCATCTTCTCAATGACAGCTAATCAGGTATAGCCCTAGGTCTTTGAAACAGATAGAAATACATTTGACTATAATTATTTTTTCGATAATGATGATGATAATGATACAAATAATAATAACAACAAAAACAATAGCAACAACAACAACCACAATTATATCAATAGCAAAAACAACAATAATAATACTGATTATAATAACTATAACAATAACAATAACAAAAAAATAACAATAATAATAATTATGATAATTATAATAAAATTGGTAATAAAGATAATAATAATAATAATAACAAAAATAAAAATAATAATAACAATAATAATAATAATAATAATAATAATAATAATAATAATAATTATAATAATAATAATAATAATAATAATAATAATAATAATAATAATAATAATAATAGTAATTATAATAGCAATATCAATAACAATAATTTTAAAAATAATAACAGTTATTACTAATAATAACACAGCATGCGCCCTATGCACATGTCCACCACTCACTGTTACCACAACATACCCTAATCTTAAGTACATGTTAAAACCTTTAAAGTAATTGACCGTAACATTAAAATTTTTCAAGACGTTCCGTTTTTGTCCTTTTATTTGCGGTGATGACGACGACGATTTTGATGTAAGATGATTTATTAATAATTAGCCCCTTTGCCTGGCTCAGACCAGCCCCTGATAACTGATCATAAGACCTTCTTTGTTTGGCTTTTACCTTGTAATATTATTTTACAGTACTTCTTTAGTTTTATTATCACTCGCGTCTGGGAAAACCCCCGAAGAGAAAAGCTGATTCGATTTTAAAACATTGTCTAAAAACATTTACGCGTATGTTTACTTGCCAAACTTCTATTGGAGACGCCCCCCTTCCCATTTCAGATTTTTTTCTACAATAATGATGATTGTTATGACAATTATTTTTCCCCAGCTCGGGCGATGCTGCAAGAAGAAAGAGGTTATCGCTTCCTACACCAAAACCTGGCTTTCGAAAAACCAAAGATTTTTAAACATTGAGTGTCTACTCAGCACAAGACTAGAAAACATGGAGTACTTAACGCTGCAGACAATTCCTCCCCACACATCTGAAGTGCAAGAAGTTTTAAAACTACGGTGCTGGGCCAACAATCATTTAGTTACAGTGACTCAAAAGTTGAATGGAACTTTTAAATTCACCGTTCCTTTTGCTAAACCTTTTAAAATCCTCTTTACCAGGTAAGCGAGCTGCTTAATTCGTTTCTTTTTGTTATACATGTACCTAGTCTGCTTATTCGACTAAAAGATGTTTTAAAAACTTTGAGCGCTCATCAGCTAACTTTAGTCAGGAGCGGTTACTTAAGAAAGTTATGAATCTTGTCAGACGTCGAGCTTTATTTCCAGAGGGGTGAAAGCGTTATCAAAGACTATTCGCTACCTCAGAATTACAAAGCTCTCTCTGACATTTTTGGCCATTTTGAGTTACTGAGACCATGAGGCCAGAAAGCAAATGTCCTATCTCCTATATCAAAATTGTAAGGTTTTTCGGAGTCATAATCACGTTATTCAAAGAACTGCATTTGCTGAAAACTTGACATGTTGTGAAACTCAAAATCTTTGACGTCAAAATTCTCAAAAGTAGGTACTGTGCTGATAGAATTTGTGTAATTCTTAGGTAGCGAATAGGGATCAGTTTCGTCTGCGCCTCTCATGACTACATATCGCGCATCGGTTAATTGACCATTAACATAGATCAATGTTTGCCAACGTTTTCATAGTCAGTATACTCTTTTACCACATTTTAGATGCTACAATTTTTGTACTGCATATCTTATGCAATTTTATGTACATAATGTAGAGCAGGACACACCTGCATTCTTTACCTCACTGCCCACAAAAACGGTCACATTGCCCACTAGAGGGCATATCGCCCAGGCTGGCAAGTACTGGTACAGGTATGGGTTTTGATAAAGAAGGCAGTGAGTTTGAAGGAAAGTGGGGGTGGGGGGTAAGGTATTAGTTTGGAATCCGGAAGTAAGGTAAGTATATTACCAGAACGGCGTGGTTTTATTCCTTCTCTCTTTCTCTCTCACTCTCTCTCTCTCTCTCTCTCTCTCTCTCTCCCTTTCTCTCCCTCTCTCTCCTCCTCTCTCTCTCCCCCCCCTCTCTTTCCCTCTCTCTTTCCTTTTCAATCTCTAAGTACGAATCTGGCACTCCCAGCTCTATTTCTGAGTCTCTCATCTCCTCCCCTCTCCCCCCCCTCTCTCTCTCTGTCTGTCTCTCCCTCTCTCCCCCTCTATCCCTCTGTGTTCAGTCTAA